ACTCTTTTCTTACATAAATTGGATCAGAAGTATATAAAACTCCACAAAATCCATTGCATTATTTGACAAGGTCTTCCTGCCGAATATAGCTAAAAAGATTTGCTTTGGGTCAAATTGACAAGGTGTCACTTCCACAGTTGTTCAAAGAAACTTATCCCTGACTTGGACTTTTTCTAGTTCACCGGGCTATTCTAAGGATCAGTTGAGGTCAATGCATGTGAGTGTTTTCTAAACTATGAAGCACCGGGTTAATGTGAGGGATGATTATTGCATGTGAACAAAGGCCCAGCAATTTAAGTGATATTAGAATTCAACTCTATATAATAAAGATGCAGTCTTCTCTCTTCTGCCACCTCCAGAAGTTTGAATAAGTTATTTGAGCTAGAGAGGCTAGTGACTAACTTCATGCAGCGACTACAGATCTTTTCTCCTTCCCCCATTCCTGTGTTCTATCACAGAATGGTGTGCCAGACCCTGAGTCAGTTTTCATGGCTGGGCGTTGGGACATAGCATGGCAGGCTAGGTACATATAGGCTTTGGGAGAGAGGATTATGAGAGATTTCTTTTTAAACCATTTTCCAATCCCCTTCCTGGCAGCTTTTATCCTGGCAGCCCCCATAGATTAAATGACATTTCAAAATCAAGTTCAGCGAAGATGAGGCCAGATATGGCTTCTGTCAAACTGGGCTGGCAGACCTGAGCAATCCTCAGATAGTTTTTGTATATATGTTTTCTTGTCTTTGGACTATTAGAAATTCTTTTCTGTATGATATGAACAGCAAGCCTGGAATCATGTGTGAGATCATCATCATCATCATCATCATCATCTGCAAACACTTACCAAATGCTTGACAAACAGAGGATCCTCCAAGCTTTGGGCACTGTATGGACTGAATTGTGTCCCTTGCAAATTCATACATTAAAGACCCAACCGCTAGTAGTACCTCAGGATGTAACTATATTTGGAATTTGTTGGAAACCCAGCAAAACTAATCCCCTTTCCCCATAACCTCAGAAAAAAATCACCCCCTTCCCCCAAATTAGCACTTTTTGAATTTGAAAATCCTTTTACCCTTGGTCATTTCCACTTTGCCCTCTTTACCTATTTGCTTCTTCCAGAGCAAGGCCAAGGGAAATGCTGCTTTCTCACTCTGCCTGTTTCTGTTTAATCATGCTGTCATTAATGACTTAAAAGAAACCACTTTGAAAAAGCTGGGAACAAAGAGATGGTGCTGTTGACTGAGCAAGTTGGTGATCCCTCTAGTGGAGAAGTCTGCAGTCCCAGAATTGGTTTGATTAATATGGCTTCTGACTTCCTCCTCTGCCAAGGAGTTTGTCATTCATTGCCGCACTCCTGTCTTTTTATTGGATATATTAAGATGTTTCCCCCATCTTAATCTGTAGATTATCAAGAACCCCTTAGAAAGCAAGTGCCATTGCATACTTGGTTCCTGCCTGACCAGTGGTACTGCCTAAACAAGCAACTCTGGATGAGGTTTTTTTGTTTTTGTTTTTAAAATATGTCTTTATTGATTTCAGAGAGAAAGGGAGAGGGAAAGAGAGAGAAACATCAATGATGAGAGTCATTGATCAGCTGCCTCCTGCGTACCCCCCACCGGGGATCGAGCCTGAAACCTTGGCCTGTGCCCTGACCAGGAATCCAACTGAGATCGCCTGGTTCATAGGTTAATGCCCAACCGCTGAGCCACGCCTGCTGGGCTGGATGAGTTTTGTTTTGTTTTTAATCTTTATTTCTGTCATGTAAATATATTTTAGTTTGTTTGTCAAACTTGTTTGCAAATGATTTTGCTCTGGAATATACCTCATCAGGAATGAGGAGGGGCCCCAGTTTGAACTTCACACTAAAATTAGCAAAACACTTTTTTTAAAGTGCTAAAGAGTTTTGTCATTTGGTTTCTCTAAGATTTAAGTGAAATTTCTCCTTCCTTCAATGTCATTTGCCTTTTCAGCTGTTCAGCAGTTGTTCCTCTGATTCTTTGTCCATTTTCACTTGGGAACTAGTTCTATTTAGCCAAAAACTAGTATGATTTCCTGCAGATCCAACCAGAGCACCTAAAAATAGTTTTCTACCCAAATATTTTTTAGCCAAAGTTTTTCAAAATACAGAAAATCTTAATAAGTAAACATTAAATCCTGCCGAAAACAAAAAGTCATAAAATCAATTGGAGTACAATGTTTTGAAAAACAGAAACAGTCAGTGATCTAATTGTGTTGAGCTTTTTGTGTTTATATAACTTGACTCCATTTTATTTGCTTTTGTTGGGTGTTTCTAAAATATCTTTGTAAATGCTTAAGTCTTAGTATTTATGCAAATCAGCAAAAAATCAGGCATTTTCGATTAGTTCCCATTCTACTCTGTTACATGTACTACACAAATCATATTTGAGTGTCCAAACTCAGAAGCAAATGTGAGTAGTTAGCCAATGATAGGTTAAGTCAAAGAGCTGGGAATTCTGGGTTTGCATAATTGGGGCTAGTCTGTGGGTTTCTTTTGTTTTGTTTTTTTCTAGTGGCAAAATGAAGATTGATGGTACCTCTACCTCTCACTATTCACTGACCTGTAATGGGGATTGGAATATATGTCAAGCTGCTTTGAAATCTCTGGGGGAAAAGAATAGTGATAGTCTTGGTTTAGCAGTACATCATTCAGCCAGATATTTAAACACCAAAGTTTAGTCTTGTCATCTCTCATTATTATGATCAGTTAGGTCCAGATCAGAGTGCAGGACTTTGAAACAAAATGAAGTGCTTCAGATTGCTCTGTACCTTCTGCCTCTGGCTTAATAAGCATCACCTGCATTTCTAAAGATATTTTCAAATGCATTAGATGTACTTTCAGTGGGGTACTCCAGTCACACGTGAAGTTTGAAAAAAGCCCATGAGTTAAGCCCCAGGTTAAAGGCTCTTGAATTCCTGATAAGGTTGATAGCATAACTAGATGAAGCTAGGCATTGATAGTACAGTTTCAGGTACACCTTCTTTAAGAGTCACGTATGGTCACACGTGTCTTTCTAAGAGTGTTAGTGTGCATTGTTTCAAGGGGTGAGAGATGAAGGTTGGGAGAGGATAGAAAATATTTGTTTTACTTTTGACTTTCTTTATCTAGCCTGCTATTTCTCTTTAGTGTTTGGTTTCCTTTAAAAATGAACTGAGCTTCATTAATACTTAAGAGGGCTAATCAAAAATAATGTGAGTACTAAAACCTACAATAAATTAATGACCCTGATCAGAAGAGACCCTGGCTACTTATTAACAAACTCTTCAAGGTATTCCTGCCTCTGTGATCATTGTCCTTGATAATCTCTTCCTGTGTAAATGGAAAACAAGGTGATCTATCACTGTAATGAACTTTCACTGAGGTGAAATAGAGATTACATCAATCTTTTTGCCAGCTTTCTAAATATATATGTTAGGCTCTGCTAATTATTAGTTTATAGACTATTGTTTCAAAAGCCAAATGTTAAAAAATGTTTTAAAGTCAAGCTAAAGATCTCAGTAAAACTGAAGGAAGACTAGAGGCTTTCAAATCTGAGGCCTGTTCTTCATTTAGCCAACTAAACTGCCTAATTTGCTATAAAGTTGCTCCTCCTGAAGCTCAAACACAGCGAACTTCCTTTTTTAAAAAATTGGTTTTTGCTTTCAACTAAATGAAAACCTGGCAGTTTCTAAGCTCACATATGAGACTCTACCCGTCTCCTATCCAAGTAGGTTTGAGGAGAAAGTTCCCTCTTGTCAGGGAAAGCTGTCTTTCCTCCCTTTGGGAGACTTTCGTCTGAGAGGCCCATTATTTTCATCTGCGTTTGTTTTTCCTGGGGAAATGTTCAGTGCATCAGTATAGACTCAGCACAGCAGCTTAGCAACAGCAAAGGTAGTTTTTCAAAATCAACTCCTGAAGATTCTTTCAGCTGATGACAGTGACTCCCTCCCTCTGAAGAGGCTTGTGGTCTTTTACCTGCCACTTTGGGGACAGGAGTGGGAAATGCCATAGTATTTACAAGAGGAAAATGTAGAGAAGAGCATTGATCTGGTGGCTCTGCCATCAACCGAGAGACGGACAGTAGGCATGTAATTTAAACATGCCCGGGGCCTTGATTTCATTATATGAAAAACAAAGAAGTTGGATTATATGATTCCTAATAATTCATACTGTTCTAAAATTACATGATTATTGTTCTTAAGAGTCTTGAACATAGTTACTCTTGGAGAAACATAATTTGCCCTTGTCTCTCAAGACAGTGCACACCTAGGATTTGTTTAGTGCTCGTGGAATTTCTGTCACCATACTTCAGAGGCCTTTGCCTTTGATATCTACCTAATCTAGGGTTGAATGACTGATCTTAACAGTGATTAAAGGTGTACTTGATGGAAATCTTGGGAGAGCCAGCTTGCAGCAAGTAGAAAAGCCCTAGAAATATTTACAGCTGTTTCAAGATCTGGTTATTTTTCAATGATTGATGTTTCCCAAGCAGCTTGGTTACCACTTGTCACAATTTGTAGTATAACCACTAAATCCAAGTTAGCCCAATTCCCAGGGTAACACAGAGCCAATCCAAATCCTCCTTCCATTTTATACTACAGGGTGCTGTGGAGACAGCATGGCCTTTGGAGTTCACAATCGGACTCTGCCTTTTTCCGATTCTGTGATACAGGTTAACCCCTCTGTGCCCAGGGTCATCATCTATAAAACAGCAATATTTAGTACTTACCTTAAAAAGTATTATGGGATCAAATGTGATGACACACGAGAAGAGCTCCTCATGTGCCTTATAATGAGAACACCTGACATTTGAACACCTCTTTACCATTTATGAAACACCTCAGAGAAGTGTTGGGGCATTGCATTGGATTTGCTGTGCTGGGTAAAATATCATTTTGGGATATAGAGGCTTGAGTCAGGCTTGCTGGGTAAGGGTCACGCCAGATCCAGAGCCTTGGCTTGAAGGTCTCTTTTATCTAAAATACCCATTTATGTTTTCCAGGAATCTGAATTTCTGTGTTTGGAATTTGATGAGGCCAAGGTCAACCAAGTTCTGAAGACGCTCTCAGAGGTAGAAGAAAGTATCAGCACGCTGATGCAGCCAGCCTAGCTGAAGATGGGAGTTGTTGGAGCAAAAAGTGTTCATGATCCCTCCCCACTGACCTGTTTTTTAAAAAAATATTATTCACCCATTAGTATTAAATCCTCAAATTCAAATCTTGCCTGCCTCTGCTTGCTGGGACTTATTTCTTCTGTTTACTCTTATAGTTGTTCCTCTGCAAAGGTTCTCATACTTCAGCATGTAGAGGCACTTGTAATAGCATTTTTTTAAAAAAAGGAGGTATCCAGGAACCTATCCCCAGAGACTTGGATTCAGGTGGACTGCGCTGGGGTCGACTTGAGAAACCCTTGTTATGGTGGTTTGTTCCTGGGTAGGATTTTAGGAATATATACATGATAAATTATACAAGAATTAGAAAACATTTTACTTATACAAATACAAAGCTGACCAAATACCATGTATCTTGAGCTGAGTCCTAGAGATTTGCTGACCCTTGTCAGTAAAACCAGAGATGCTTCTGGAACTGATTCAGGTGCTTGAAATAGTTCTGCCCAAATCTGGAAGGGTCTGGTTTGGCTTTTCTAGAACCTAGAAATAACCTGGCTCATCACAAAGGGACTCCCTCACTTACCTCGGGTCAGGATTGTGGGAAGAGAAAAATGTCTAAGGAGGTGATACGAGGTTTTTTACCTCAGAAAATTTTACTTGCATCATCAAATAAAACCTCTTCAAGAAAACTAGTGTAAAAACTAGATCTTAGTAGAGAAATTATACGAAACGCCAAGATTATCTAAGAGGAAGAAGCTGTCAACCAGTATGTTAAGGCAGTGGTCCTTGTTGAACAGGTTTTGTGATCTGATACTGATGAAACTTAGAAACCTCAGTTGCCTTTGGGATTAATGTGTTAAAAAAAAAAAGTTCTCTTAGTCTGTGGTTACATCATATATCAGTTCTAATGAGTTTATTCCAGGGCAGGAATATAAGTCCTCTTCTGTTAAGCATTTTCTACTAAATCAGTTTGGAGACGTTTTAGGAGTTCTTCCAACACCCAAGCTGAAAATATTGGCTTCCTCCCTGATTAAAACCATCCCAGCAGTTAGCAAACAATAAGCAGAAGGTTTTAAATGTAGCCCCTGTGGACCCTTCAGAAAACATATTGAAATAGTAGGATAGTGTGGTTTGGCCAGAGAACTATTAAAACTTGCTCTCTGTTCCCAGGGCTACCGTCACGTGATACAAAAGAATTAGATCATGTCTCCGGCTGTAAAATGGAGATAACAGTATTTAGTATTTCATTAGATAGTGAGATTCCAGATGTCATTGGAAGGAAGAACTGTAGCTACCACATTAGCATTAACTTACATGGCAATGAAAGTTTGTGGAAGCCTAAAGGAACAGTCCATGGGCCCACAGTGAAAATCCTGTTTAGATCATCCTATGAAAGTAGAGGCCACAAAAGTGGACATGGGCTTTTTAATATATCTCCCAAACCATAGGTAGTTAGAAAAAGTGTTAATGTACACTGAGTTTTTCATCCTCATCATAAAAGAAACTGGTTGTTGAAGGTTAACACTAAGCACTTCTGAATGCAAGTGGTTTTGGACAGGCTGTGTTTGCGTGTGTTTTATATTTACTGATTACCAAAGGAGTATAGGTATATTGTAGTCTATTGTGAAAATACAGAACACTAAGAATAGGTAATGACTCATCAACCTAAACTAGAGAGAGAACAGAAAGAAGGCTAGAGCCGGGAGAAGAGTTGACTTTCCCTGAATGAATTCCTGGAAGTGGTATACACTGTTTTTAAGACTGAACACTGCCAAATTCTTTCCAGAAAGGTTATATCAGTTTATGTTCCCTCGAAGAAAGTATGAGAATAAAACGCTTCCCTTCTTGCCTAATTGAATATTATCTGTTTTTGTATTTTCTGGAACTAACTTGTTTTTGTAAATTTTTGCAAGGGACACTTACTTAAACTAGGACATCTCCCTGGGGAAAGGACCTGGGAAGGAGAAAACTGGCGTAAGGGTCCCAGAAGACCCCACTAGGTTTCCTACCTCTGTAATCCTACGTTAAAACCACTTTATTTTGAGTTCAGGAAATATAGGGCAAAGTAAAAATAGACCTTGTAGAAATTGTCCCTGCTTGAGCAATAAGCACTCTAACTTGTCTGTTTGGAAACAGTCCAGGCAAGCCAAAAGTTGCTTTCAGAATAAAGTCTGACAGAAACTCCAGACTTCAGTAGTTTCACGTTGATAAGAGCAAAGGATTGGCCTGACCCTCAGGGCTGGCTTTTCTTGGAAGCTCCAGTTCTCATCAGCTTCATCAGTGAAGGCTTAAATTCCACCATTATATATCCCCCCATTTCCTTTATATAACCTCTCTTCCTCCAGCTTTATTCCAATGATGATTCGAAAAGAATCTCAGCATTTTAAAATTTAGTTTAAGTTTTCCTCCCCCAAATGCAGGGCGGCGGTGAAAAGCCATGGATGACACTGAGTATCTGAAATCTTAAGTAGCTGCCATTGTGTCAAGCTATTAGTTACTGAAGTTCTTTTTTTAGACCTGAGTGAAATTTTGGAATACAGAATATAAGTAGACATTAAATGGAAAAGAAATGTTAAACAGAAAGTTAGAAAACAGCTTTTTCTGAAGTGCACAATAATATTTAGACTAGTAAAGGGACAAGGCTATAGGAGGAAGCCTTCTAGAGTCAGCTCGGAAATGAGAGGATATTTCCCTAAAAGAACAGGATGTTGGGAGGGATGGGCCTTTTGGGGACAATTGCCACCTTATGATTCTTAGCTGTCTAACTTTCCAGTCAAGGTTTTCAAATATTTTAGACGGTGAATTAACCAGCAGAAGAGAAAACCCAAATAGAACATAATTAGCTTAATTCTAGTTGCAAAGTATATCGTTTTTACCTCAAATTTTGAGAAATAGCAATTTTTATCTAAGTGCAGTGAATTCCCCCTTATCTGAGGTTGGCCATATTGTCTCTCACAGCATCACAATCCTATGCAGGACTGAGCTGGCCTTTGTGACAAAGGAACCTGCCTGTGTCTGCTTCTTGTCAGATAATGGTGCCAACTGACATAAGTTACAAGTTCACTACATACCCTATCAGAATAAAAATACCAAACCTATACATGAGCAGATAGAAAAATAGGGGTATTTACATCATTTACTCACCAAGGACTATAATTGGGCCTTTTGTTTCTTTTTTACCTGCTCTTGGCTAGTCTTCTGTTTGCTGCTGGTGTTGGGGTTTCCAGTTTTATTGATTAACAGGATGCAGGCAGGGAGAAATGGAAAGGGGGATAATAAGGATTTGATAGCAGAAGGAGAATAACAGATTAAACTGTTAGTTTAAAAGAAACTTAGGCTGAAAGGTGAACGTAGTTAAAATCTTTAATGATGTTAATATATTCTTTTTATATTAAAAATAAATTTGGGGATTTTATGTGATTCATATTCTGGATATTTTTAGAACCATGTCAGAGATTTGGCACTGATCTCAGAATGACAGATTTGCAGGCTTTTGGCAGAAGCTATTTTATTATCTTGTCAAAATGGGGAAATATTTGGACAGGCAGGGCAGAGGACTTGCACAAGACCATGGTCAGAAAGAAACCTCAGGGGACTGTCTTCCAGCTCTATGTTCTACCTGCCAGACCCCCCACCCCCAAAGAATAATATGTGCTTGTAAAGAATATCTGTGTCCTTGCTTGTTGTGTTTAGATGATGACAGTTCCTACAGTGATGATTTTGTACACACATGTGACCTTGGGGGCAGTGAGGCCCATTTTTACTTGCAACCTGCATTCGTGTTAAACCTGCCTCTGTGCGGAGCTGCTGATGCTTTTTGTAGAGCCTGATGCTGTTCCTGATGGCCTCGACCTCACTGTCCATTCAGTGCCACCCACCTCCGGGTGCCATGTGCAAGATGAATCTGCTGTCATATAGGGCTTCCTTGCCATCCAGAGTTCTCAGGTAGGCAGCAGTTTATCATTATCCTAGCTGGACCCAAGCTTGCTAAATATAGCATAACTCTTGGCCATTAATTCATAGTAACAATGTTTATAGTAAAGTCTGCAGCAGCTCCTTCCTCACTATTATGGTTTTCTCAACATTGTCTACCCACAGGGCTATAAAACAGATCAGACTTTTTTTACATTTTAATTATAAAGTAATACATGCTCATTAAAAATTATTAATTAATAATTATTTATTTTTTAAATCAGTACAGAATTGTATAGAGCAAAAATGAGTCTTCCTTGCCTTCTGCTTAAAAACAAATTCTCTCTTCAGAAGTAGTTACTGTTAACTACTGTTTGGTGTGTTTCCTTCCAGACACTTTATAAGCATACAGAAATGTGTGTGTGTGTATTTATATAGTTATGAATCATTTTAGAGGTTCTTAACTGTTGGATGACATTTTATGTCTTAAAGAATCCAGTAAAAGATATGGATTCTGTTTCCCAGAAAACAAAACAAAACAAAAACATGCACATATTCACTGAATTTTTCACTGTGTCAGGAGTTTCCAGAATTCCCAGAAAATAATCTGTGACCAACTCTACCCACTTCTTATGGAACCAAGGACAACCTAGGAAATAGCTACGCTATAATGGATTTAGAGGGTGTTACTGTTCATAGCAGAAACCTAATGAGCCAGAATATGCACGGTGCCCTTAGTTGAATTTTCTGGTCAACAGAGTTTATCACAAAATCTTTTTTATCACGAAACGTTAAGTTAAAAACTTTACAAAGAGCCCGGCCGGGCGTGGCTCAGTGGTTAAGCATCGACCTAGGATCCAGGCGATCAGGGTTCGATTCCTGGTCAGGGCACATGCCCAGGCTGCAGGCTACAGCCCGTCAATGACTCTCTCATCATTGATGTCTCTGTCTCTCTCTCTCCCTCTCCCCTCCTCTCTCTGAAATCAATAAAGATATATTTAAAAAAACAACAAAAAAAACTTTACAAAGAGTCTAAGTTCACTTTCCTATGTGACAATCCAGGGATTCTCAATACTCCAACCTCAGGTCTTTGTGCCTGTTGAACTTTCACAGATGCCATCACAGCACCTACATTTTGGTATAAGTACTTCCTTGCCTGCCATTTGTTTCCCCCAGAGCTGTGAACTCCTTAAGGGTAA